TATAATTTGTTTATAAATACTTTGTAAATTTAAGCCAGGCTAAATGAACACTTTTTCAAAGTCATTGCTACTGCAATCAAAAAAAAGATCACAGCTCTATTTATTTGAAACCATTACAAGGCCATTACAGATTCATACCTTTTTGTGTTACTGGAAAAAAAGGAAAAGGGAACTGCCACTGGTACAACCATTTTACAGTTTTCCACAAAGTATTTTAAAATTAATTACTTTATACTAGACAGTGTTATAGGTTCCATGAGAATTCCATCATTTCAGTAGTTGTGATACACAGTCTTCATATTAGGATCTGCCAAATACATAGTTGCCTTCTTATCCAACACTGAGACCAGGACAAAAAAAGAAAATAAAAAAAATCCTCGCATCCCAGTCTGTATTTCTCATCTATTTGGGTTTCTGACCTTGCCCAGTTTGTAGTGTACTGCCTTGCATATTCCATATGAAAAACATAATATATAAAATATTGCTGCTGTAAAAATTTTCCCCTTCCCCTTACAAAAGAATCTCTGGAAAAATACTAAATTCCCTTAACCTTCATAAACATACAGTACTGCTCACATACTTCAGTCTGTAACAGTTTGTTTGATATACAGTTCTAAGCTCATTGCAAAATTGTGAGTGTATTTTCTGTCCAATATTGCCATCTAGAGTACAGATGTATTTTTTTCCATGAGGACAATTACTTTTGTTTATAATTAGCCGAGAAAAGCTAACCTAGATAGGCAATATACTGCAATACAGCCATTTATTAACAAGGCGAGGTTGTCATTTTCTTTCCAAAATTAGAAGCAATTGAAGATTTTCTTCAAAAGATGTTGACAATGCCAGAGACGATGAGGCTGCTAACAGGTACTGCTTATTAAAATTATGTTTTCACTGCTGGTAATTTCCATACTGCCCCTATAAATAAATTGAAAAAGGAGGATAGTAAATAGGAAGCAATACCTTGTTCTACTAAATAACAGGGCAAAAATCTAAAAGTAAAATGCATACATTCTTAGCATTGACTTCTTTTAAAGTAGGATTAATTTCTTATTTCAAGTGTGAAACTGTTTGCCCAGAAGTTGGAATTGTACTTTCAGCAATATATTGTTCCTATGAAGATCTGATATAACAATATAGCATTAGATATAAAAAAAATGAAACCAACCCAGAATATATTATAAATAGGTAAATATTGTAAATAACCAGTTTTTAAAACCTCAAAAATGAGATTGCCTAGAGTGCAAATGATAATGGAAATGCCAAGCAATCTTCTTGAAAAGTAGGATGATTCTTTACGTCTGGATCCCCATCACCACGTATTATACTTCCAAAAGTGGGGCTTTAGTACCCAATAGATATAATGTTAAGGAATACTTCTTTTGTGTTCTTTTCTAGGTCATTTTATATAGAGAGATAATTGAGGATATGTTTTGGATGATAGCAACACAAATGTTAGTAAACTACTAATATGAAGCTGCACATACATCAATAAATTGACAGCTATGTACAAGCAACCAGTTTCTTAAGACAGGCAAAGAATGCAAATTTTGGCCAAATGATATTCCAAAATATTTCCTCATCAATTCTCAGTTCCAATAAAAGCAAGGGATTCAACGTTATTTTACTATCTACCTGAAAGTTTTCCAAGCAGAATCCAAAGAAAACATACCAGCATTAAGGGGAACTTCTAGATAAACAAGGGTGCATTTTTTTTTAATGTTACAGGTTTTGAACCTAAAATAGATTGTTCTGGATTTACCAGAAGTATTCCGTCAATTTCAAAAGTGTTCCTAATATAAACGGGTCCTGTTTCAAGTTCAGAAGAAGGGTTTTGAACTAGGGTCACTTCCAGAATGGTCAGAACAGTGTTCAAACACTTCTGGCATTCTAAATATTCTACACACCACTAATAAAATGTTTATATTTTTTATGTTCTACAAGACTAGACCTCTAGTGTCCAGGAGGAAAAAACTGTCATACAGGAGTGAAAGGAGAGAAGTAGCAGTTAAATATTCTTCAAATTCAATACTCTTAAAATTTTCTGATCCATTATTTTCTGGGGTAATTTTTATTCACTGGGGCCAAGATTCAGATTTACAAACCTAAAACATGTTCACCTGCATTAAATACCAGACCTTCATGCCTTCAATAAAAGACTTACATGTGTTACTGGAAAAAAAGGAAAAGGGAATGCTTATTTGTTACATGATTTCAGTGGCAACTATTCAAAAACCAAATTCCGTAATTCCACTAGAATCACAAAACTAGTTGTTTTCTTCTTTGAATCTTGGCAATGTTTCTTAAAATATATCTTGCCTTGTACAAGAAAGTTGAAAAAGGAGTATCAAAAAATTACAAAAAAAGCAAAATATGGTTTCCAAAACAGCTTTTTACAAAGCACTGTAAATATAAAATGTATCTGTGTCTGCTTTTCAGTTTCAGTATGTTGATATTTATGTCATATTGGTAACAGTTTATTATAACATTGTGGCCCAAAATGAAAAAAAAAGAACAATTTTTCAAGCAAGGATATAACTTTCTTCAAATATAGAAAGAATTTTCTCAGACAAATTCACACATTTACAAATCTTACAGTAATGAAAAAAATACAAGAATTTGGAACTGTTCTCAAGAGGAATAACTAGCATAAACAACATTTAGGTAACTGATATTGTAAGTTCTATGATGACAATTTGTGGAATGGCTTACTTACACAAAGTATTGGATTTGCCACCATTATATACAACCCATTATTATCTGCACAGTACCTCTTGTGGAAAACAGGATTTTTTTTTAGTATAAATATTATATAAAACCCAAACTTTATTATAAACAAAACATTACCAATTGATTTGCATTACACACACATACACACATTCTGTAGGACACACTTCTACCTTTCCTACAGCTAAAGAATAAAAGAATAACTGAATGCCAATTGCTGGGCTAGGTAAAAAGATCACCGCTTTCCATCAGTTTCTTCTTCGTGATTGAGTACAACAAAAAAACTAACCAGTTGTCCATATTACCATTTACAATGCTGTTGGATTTTAAGCATATACATTATAAAATGCTTACTACAGTTGTTTATAATAACAGATTGAAAACGGCAATCAATAAGAACCCATTTAGTTACATGGAAGAAAGTGTTTCATATGTCAGAAAGAACATGATGAGATATGAAAGAAGTACACTGTGGTTGTTTGGTCATGCAGAGACAATGAGTCAGGATCAAAATGCAATGAGTGGGTCAAAAAGAAGGCAAAATTGTCGTGGTGAAGTGAGAGGTTTAAGGAACAAAAGTATTGTATGAAGCAGCAGATGATGTGGTAGAAGCAAGGATGGTTTGCAAGAACAGAATGGTATGGAAAGATATAGTGAATGATGTTGATGCTGATGTATTTTTAGCAGTTTCCTTTACGGGCCTTTAATTAATTTGACTTAATATTTCTTGCTCTTTTCTATGTTCTGCACTATGTTGCTTATTCTTAAGGAGAACAGCATGATAATTATGTATTTAGGTATGCTCTGTAAATTCCACTGGGCAAAGGTCACATTTCCTTCTACAAACTATCCATGATCACAAAGACACTCACCTTTAGGAACTGGAGAACATATGTATAGTACTGGTAAATTTTACAGAAAACAGGATAGGAGTCAATTAATTCCCCATACTTTACTATAACAGAATACAATATTAAAAAGTGGGTTCTAGTATTCTGATATAATGAAAAATAATAAAATTTGTGAGAGATTATATTTTAGGAAAATAGTAATTCCAGGAATATTTAACAGAAGGGATTAATGTATTATGAAGCTCAACTCCATATTGAAATAAGAAAGGAAAAGGATGTGGAAATATGTATTACAATGCAGAAATACCAAATACATATTGTGAGTTTAGAAGGGTTATTCATTCAGATAGCACAACATTAAAAGTGGAATTTTGGTAACTGCTTGCCTGATCAGATAACTCACTTTCAATTCCAGTAATCTTCATTATAGATTGTCCATATCCCTCTTTAAAAAAATTTCTTTAATATTCAGTTAGAAATAATATACAAAGTATAGATGATTGCTATATTATTGTTGCATTTCCCTAGCTGGGAAACTCAGTACACAAAACTGTTAATTTGATTTTTGTAGCTGCAGTTACAGAATCAGATTCTGCTCAGCATACTTTTTTAAAAACATCAGCAATGGTCAATGTTCAAGAGTTAAAGATTACAATTAATTCCCCAACCACCTGGAGGCCCAAGTAATATCACAGGAAGAAGAAGGGCTGATTTCCCCCCCTTTTGTATGGGATGTAAGGAACAGATGGAATGAAATTCAGAAAAATGGCTGAATTTCAGCAGTATTATTAATGGACCATGGGGTAAGCTGTTAGATGGAAATTGGAGCACTTTATCACCCATTTCCAGATTTTATTTTTGAGAAAATGAACAAAAAATATACTATTCAAAATCAACTGTTTTGTTGTCAAATGTTAGCTGTGTGATCTCAGGGGGCTTGATAGCTACAAAAGGGATATTGAGGAAGTGCATGATTACATTTCAGCCTTTACTGCTATAGTCACTTAGCTCTATAAATTTCTGTCTATTAAAGTGAGGAAGCATTTCTCCGATTTTCACAACTGATGTAAAAATGTATATATTTTAAGATGTACTTGGTGAGTTTCTCTAGAATATTTATAAGCTATTAGCAACTTTTAATGCTTTTGAACAGCTATCTAGAAATGATATGCAGACAAATAAAACAGCTGAACACCTCTTGTATCTTTTTGCTTTCTGATCTGAAGAAACTGAAAGACAAAAGATAATATTTGGATACAACAAACAATGGTCTTTATTTTATTTTTCTATTACTGTGGTTCCTCAGGAGACAAGAATTATAAAAAAGTCTCTGTAAGCGTCAGAAATGAAATATTCAATATAAGCTATTAGATAAAATATTTTTAATGAAACAATATCAGATAAGAAAAGTACAATTAAAACAAAAATATTTTTTAAAAATGTTATGGTGAGTAATCAAGTAATTTGATTGTGCCAGTTGGCTCCTCCCTGTCACCCATGTATTTCTCTGTGCTGGCTTGTTTAAAGCATACTTCACTGTGCATGTGATTTTTGCCTGCGGCTGACAGTGAAACAAACCAAAAGTAAATTATGGATCATATAAGCAGTGATGGAACCAGCTGGCACTATCAAGAATCTTCTCTACTAATCATAATCTTTGCTTTGGATCTACCTAGAGAGTCAGAATATTGCAATTCATCGACCCATGCAGATGAACACGCCTATTAGCTTGGAAAAACAATTTCAGTGTTTGGCCACCTGAAAAACAAAGAACTTGCACAATGGTATACATATGTCATTTGATTTTACCTCTTATTTAAAACTGTTTTAGATGAAATGCATAAACATACTTAAATGGATAGCATTTGAACTGTAAACATTTAAATACACATACAAAAAAAGTAATTTCAAGAACTGTACCTGGTCATATCCATAAGGCCTTTGTTGTGGGGGCTGTGGAGGGCCAGGCTGCGTAGGTCTATATCCTCCATATTGTTGACCTTGTCCTTGAGGATAATTGGAATACTGAGGTCCTGCAGCACTTTGAGAGGGACCTACAATATTTTGTACAGAAATTCTAACAATTCAATCATTAAAAACATAATCTTTTATATTTTTATTTCCCTAGATGAGGACATTCAAGACTATTGCACAGTATAATTGTGCAAATGAAAATTTGTTTAATATCAATTTTAATACCTTCATATTTTCCCCCGAGGTCCAGGTGCTCATCTTTCTTGATTTACAAATATGATCATTAGGCTTGGCTTAATGAGGCCAAATTATAAGCACATATGTTTATAGTGAAGTTCTCAGTACCAGTACAAAGAAAACTGCCTTGTTTAAGAACCTTGCTATTTTTGCTTTCTTGAAAGTAGGGATTAAGGCTAAAATGTGTAAACTTACTAGAAACAAGTAAAACATTATTTTCAAAATTGTAGTGAAACCCTTTTTCTACAATTGATGAAAGAAATTAAATATTTTGATGTCTCTCATAAAGACTCTGTGGGATCCAATTTAATTACAAGTCCTATGAATTATCTAAAAACTATTAAGGAAACTGTCCTGTCTAATCAACTTTATGTAGATGCAACCTTAATTCAATCCAAGAAGGTGTCTTTATATAACAATGATCTCACAGAATATTCTACTGTACTGTACTTGCAAAAAAGTCATATATTACCCAAATCTTCAATATTCCCCATTCTCTACAGCAGACAGCGAAGCAAGAAAGCTAGGGAAGGATGGGACTAGAATTGCTAAGACTACTAGTACCTTCCCAGAATATTTGCAGTACACTGCCAAGTATAAAAATCTGAAGACAGAAGAATTTCAGGATAAGTGGAAAACCTGGGCAGAGGTAACTGGGAGTTTGACTTGAACAAATTTCTTCTGCTTGATTACTCCATCCCTAATTCCTCCCTATTGCAGACACTTTCTCTATATCCCAGAAAAGCATTTCAAGTGTGTGAAAGTTGTACTGGAGAAAAACCACAATCATTAAGATTTGCATATTGTATATTATTGGCATTCGTTTTTGCAAAATTAAGAGACAGTATTGGTAGCTATGTGCCAGAACTGGATGATGCAACACTAATTTGAGCTCCCAAGCTTTTACCCCTTCAACAACAGCAAAGAAATCAGAAACACTGAACTACATTTTTAAATAAATCAGAGTTCTCTCTTATGCCTGCATTTTGGGACAATGCTTAATTTAATCTAGGGTTAGTGAATGTGGCATAAATTTCCCTTTTATACAAACTTGACTGAGTACCTATTTAACTAGCATCCTCAAGCACAGATTTAACAGAAGTCCTGAAGCTTTTAATGAGTCAATATTCTCCATATAGCCAGAAGAGGGGAGAAAAAGAGGGGAGGGAAACATACCCATATATCTATTGCTACATCATAGTTTAATATTATGTCCCTTTCCTTGTTAAACTGGACAATAACTCTCCTCCTTCCAGCTTTCTTCATCACATAATTTACAGCTAAAAGTCAAAAACAAGATAATGTCCCAAGAATAGCCTTATTCAATTTATCTGGAAATCACTGGTCTGAATTTAGCATGGACACTGAGAAAGCTCTCCTGCACTAGTCTGGTCTGACTTTTTCTAAACCCCAGTTTTTAAGGTGACTACAATAATCCATGCTGCAAGTTGAATTCTTGTGATGAAAATTTCTAGAAATTTTGAAGTCTTGGGGAAAAAAGGTCTTTTTTTTCCAGAAAAGTGTGCAATAACCTCTTCCTGTTGACTTTGGTATTTTAAGAACATACACTGCAGCATACAGGTAGTCCTCAGGTTATGATGGCAATTGGGACTGGGACTGCTGTCGCTAAGCCATGCGCGCGTAAAGTGTGACATCACATGACTGTACTGCTTAGCAATGGCAATCCCAGTTGTGGTTGTAACCAAGACATGTGGGTCATTAAATGGGAAGTGGCAGTAGTCTCAGGTAAGGAATGTGGGGGTGTGGGGGCAGCCAGGGGAGGCCTTGGGAGACCCAGCACAGGACATGAGTGCGGGAAAGCACAATGTGAGTGCAGGAAAGCCAGGCAGTGGATGCTGTAGTGTGAGCGTAGGAAGGCCGGGGGGTTGGTGGATGGTGTGGCGTGAGCAGAGGAAGGTCAAGGAGGGTGGATGCCGCAGTGTGAGCACAGGAAGTCTGGGGGGTTGGATGGCTCGGCACGAGTGCAGGAAGGCCAGGGAGTAGACAGTGCAGTTGAGTGCAGGTAGGTCAGGAGAACTTACCAGAGCAACTTCTGCCCTTCCCTGCTGGCTTACCCATTGACTTTGCTTGTGGGAAGCTGGCAAGGACGGTCGTAAATGGCGATCACAGGACGCTGCAACCATAGTAAGTGTGAACTGGTTGCCAAGCGCCTGAATCATGAACACATGACTGCAGGGGCACTGCAACAGCCAGAACTTTGAGGACCAGTCATAAGTACCACTTGTTCAGAGCCACTGCAACTTTGAATGGTTACTGAATGAGTGGTCGGTAAGCGAGGACTACCTGTATATAACTTGGTTTATTCATACAATTCTTATGTTTGGTATTTGTTAAAAAAGTATAATCTAGTTAGAAAGTAATTATGTTTTATATTGGAATTTACTTTAAAATGGATTGTAAATTTTGTTTTGGTAGGCCTTTGTTCTACTTTTGTCCTTTGAAGCACAATAAAGAGCAGATCCCACTGGCCTTTAGATAAAAAGTAAACAACCCACAAGCAAATCACAAACTAAATCTTTCCTTCCTTCTATCTTGGACAAAAATGGTGGTGACCTCCCCTGGGGAAAGAATGTATCTTGTTCTTCCATTTTAGAACTGTACTGCACTGCTTCTCCTCTGTGCAGAGAAAATGTACTGCTCTGATATGCTACATAAAAATTCTATAAAAATCCTATTAAGATTTATTAGAAAACATTTGAGGGAATAAAGGATAGTTATATAGGATACCTTGCCTTTACTCTAAAAGAAAAGATTTCAGAAAGCTTTTAATTCTTTCCCAAATTTTTCAATTTCTTCATTTTCATAAAAAATACAAGAGAGGAGTGGGAATGTGTGTGTGGGGGGGTGAAGCTCCTGCCTCATTTTCCCTCCTGGGGTTTCACATTTCTACCTTCAACTCATGGAAACCTTTTTTAAATCTTTTTTTCCCCCAAATTCCTCTTTAGACCTCTATTCTGCAGATATGTTTTATAATATTACTAATATATATGTTACTGGTAAATTGATGTTTAAAGGACCAAAAGAAAATTGTAGAGACTAACTGGAACAACGACAATCAATCACTGCTACCACTGCATGTGTTTGTGTGTATGTGTAATTAACAGAAGGGACTAGGAGTATAAATGAAGGTTGACCAAAGCCCTGCTGGATACTCAGGATTCCCCACAAAAATGTATTCTCTTACTTACCATAACCTTGCTGTTGTCCAGGATAACCCTGCTGACCTGGGTACTGTTGCTGTTGATAGCCTGGCTGTTGAGGTGGGGCTTGGTATGCATCTTGCTGCTGGGCATATTGAGCATTTCCTGAAACAGGAGGTGAAGCGAAAACAATTAAATGCTGCTTTTAATGCACTCACGATTTTTAAGATGCACAGCAAACACCACAAAAACAAAATGAAAATGCAGTTTTGATATCAAAAACTAAGAAAACAAAGAAAACAAACCAAAACAGAAGGAATTCGGCCAAGCTGCAGTTAAAACCAAATTTGCAAGGCTAAACTGCAGTATTTTCACATCTCTGCCAAACGAGTATTACTTTTACTGGAACGTGATGTCATGACTTGATAAGGCCATGACTATGCTAAATGAAAAAAAAAAAGGACAAAATTAAAGACAGCTACAGAGCACAAACTAGCTACACAAATCAGCAAGCTGTTTCCTAGTGGTGCTATATTTGTATGTATACATACACACAAAATATAAACTGGACCAATGAGTTTATGTTTAAATAAAAATATTATTGAAAAAATTGCTAATAGTGTTATAATACTTTTACTGCTGTTAGAATGACAAACTTAAAATTATAAGTTTAGATGTTTGCAAGAAACTAGGCTGAACATTTCAAGTTCCCTGCATTTCTTAACAGCCAGCAACTAAAAGTCTACAAGAGCTTTGCATGGGCAGGAAACAAGTTATGTTGTGCAAGAAATGTTGCTCTTTTGTGGAAGGGGAGAGGAAAAGGAATGTATGTGCGCATGTGTGTGTGAAGGTATATAGATACCTCCTTCGTAGTAATGTTGGGAGGAATCCTCATAAGGCCTATCGTAGCCTTGTTCAGGATACGACGGTTGCTGATAACCGTAATCACTATGACCTACATCAATTCGACAAGAGACAGGAAGAAACGTTAATGGCCTCTGAGTGAAAACCCTACGAATATTTCATTTTACTGAAAAATCAGTGTCAGATGGAAATACATGAAAAAAAAACCTTCAAATTAAATTAGAAGGATTCACCAATAGGATTTCCTTTCATACTGAATTAACATGTGACAGGAGGAAAAAAAATCGTCTAATGAAGTAGTTTTAGCAACATCACAGCAAGGAATGGTCTTACAGCTTCTGGTAAAAGGGTAAAAAATGTTTTTTTTTAAAGAAATCATTTACGCTTTTCACATGGAAATAATTATTTAATTACAATGAACAAAGAACTCAATTATCATACTTTGTTGAACACCTGTTCTACTTATCTTCAATTCAACAGCATATGCTATTAAAAGCAATGTGAACTATAACATATAATGTTCAATAAACTTTTAAATAACTTTTATATAATTCTGTATGACATATTTTGTAAAACACTGAACCTCTCAACTTAATTAAAATCTCATTAAAAAAAGAAAAAAGAAAAATGACACTCTCCTTTACCATACAAACATAACCAGTAAATGCTACAGACACCTGCCAATAGGATCCACTTGACCTGACATTTACATTCATATCTCAGATAGTTATACCTGCATTTAGGAATCTAGTTCATATGCACTCTTGGCAACAATAATGGTTTTGAAAAAAGGACATTTCTTAAAATGCCTAACATTTTTATTTACACTGGGTTTTTTTTCATTTTTTATGGTGGGCATCACAAATTTAATTCAACTGTACAGTAGTTTGGGGTTTTTTTGCAGCGTATCATCTCTACAGCTTCTTGAAGAAAGGGCTATTTATAAATCATTTTACACATAAACGTGTAATGTACTGTGCACATTTCAAATATAACAGAATTTGCAAGTGCAAAAAATATGCCCCAAGGGATACAAAGGCCTGCCAGCATTCCTTTTATAGCCCAAAAACTCTCCCAGGCTGAGTGGCACTGTAAACTTGGGACTTTACACTTCAGGGGCTTTGAGGGTAAAAATGGTTGCCTTAACTGTCAGAGATGCTTAAGGTAGCCATTTTACCTCTTAAAATCCTTGATCCCAGCCCCAACAGCCCAGGCCCTTCTTACTTTTGGAACTGGACCTTGACAAAGCCTGTTGTGGCCTCTGAGCTGACGGAAGTTGTACAACCTTGCCTCAATTCATCTAGCTGCAAATAAACCTTAGGAGATTTTTTACAATGATTTAAGTAACATGTTAAGATTATCAAAATTATGTTACTATGTTTTTACTTTATGCATAAAACAGTCAGATAGAACCCATTATGACTTTTAAAAATGATTAACAAGAATTTAAAAATATTTTCTATGCAACTTATCTTACCGTAATCTTACATGCCACAAAATAGATTCTAGCTTGGTTCAGCAAAAGGTGTTCAAAATTGATTTCACGATATATGAGTTAAGTAAACCATAAGCATGGTGGTCACCAGTTGTAAGTAGGTTGTTTAAAACTTGGCAAAAACAATTTGGGCACATTTATTTTTTTAAAAAATAAAATTAACTTGAACCAAAGATTTGCTGTGAAATAAGAATTACATTGAAAAAATAGTCTACCATCCACCACAAATGTAATATATACAAAGTGTCATTCCAACTCTTACAGTTGCCATCCATATCTATTCAGTTTATAATTAATCATAATCTCTAAACATATAATTTAAAAATCTGATTTATTAAGCAGAAATTCCAATCAGTATATTATCGGGATATACAAAGAATCAGCTTTGTAACTCTGTTTTGTAATCCTATTAATTGTAATAAACTTCAAAAAGTCTATAATTTCCAGAACGCTAAAGAAAAAACAATGTTGTCTACAATTACATTATATAATTTTGAGAGACAGTGTGGTTTAGTGGATTAAAGTACTGAATTTGGACTGGGAGGCCTAGGAACTGATCTAGTCTCAGCCACATAAATTCATTAGGTAGCTTAGGGCCAATCATTCTGTCTCAGTCCAATCTACCTCACAGGTTTGCTGTGGAGCAAAACAGAAAGGAGTGCTTTGTATGCTGCTTCAAGCCGCTGAATGAAAGGTGAATTAAGCATCAAATAAATAAATAAAT